ATACTGGAGTGATTTGACATTTCCTTCTCCAGCTCATTTGAGGAAACTGAGGCAAACAGGGTTAAATGACTTGCCCTGGGTCACACAACTAGTAAATATCTGAGACTGGATCTGAAGCCAAGTCTTCCTGACTCCAAGACTGGCACGCTATCCAACTTTGATGCCCTATCTACATATATGAGATGACATAAGTTAAGTACTTTGCAAAATTCAAAGCACTGTGTAAATGTTAATTACTATTACAATCATTGTAGAAGGGTTGTGCTCTATGTTGGTGAAAAGAGCACCACTCTGACAAAATCAGAGCTATGTCAATTGTTCATGTAAAAAGAACAAGAGTTCATGTTTCTGTATTGCTTTAATATCTATAAACTTCTTCCTTTTTAGTATCATCATGAGGTTAAGAGTGTTAGGATCCTCACTTTACAGATGAGGAAACTGAACCCCTGAGAGGTTAAGGGACTTGCCCTGGGTCACACATTAAGTGACACATCCAGGTTTTGAATCCAGGCCAGAACTCTTTCCCCTAGGCCAGGAACTTAGAAAAGGAAATGAATGTCCCTCCCTTTTCTTTGCCCTCCTCTTGAGCAGATACTCTCCATCCTTGAAGGTCCAATTCAAAGCCTACCCCTTCTGTGAAGCCTTCTCTGACTACTAGATTCCTCAGGGACCTCTTCCCCACAGAGCTAATCATCTCTATCTCTTATAGGTTACAGAGCATAAACTGCCTGAGATTACTTAACGGTGGAGTCCTTTCTTCTCTAGTAAACTATGATTTCCCAAAAGGCAGGGCTGGACCTTTGCTCCCTGCCCCCACACTTCAATGTAGTTAAGTAATAAGGACTGAGCACACATCTGTTGTTGTTGCAGCTGTTGTGCAGCTAGGTGGGGTTGTGGATAGAGTCCCCAGGCCTGGAGCCAGGAAGACTCATCTTCCTGAGTTCAAATCTGGCCTCAGACACTTACTAGCTGTGTGACCTTTGGCAAGTCCCTTAACCCTGCTTGCCTCAGGTTCCTCATCTGTCAAATGAACTGGAGAAGGAAATGACAAATCATTCCCATATCTCTGCCAAAGAAACTCCAAATGGAGATTCATGAAGTCTAAACAACGACTTCTGGAGAAGTGGAAAGAGCATTGAACTTGGTTTCAGATCCTAGTTCTGCTATTACTAGCCCTGTGATCTTGGAAAATAACTTTCTCTTTCTGGCTTTCAATTTCTTTTTTTATTAATTTCTTTTGATTTATCAACAATCACTTCCATAAGCTTTTGAGTTTTAAATTTTTTCTCCCCCCCTCTGCCTCCCTCCTCACCATAGCACGCAATCTGATATAGGCTCTACATATACATTCCTATTAAATATATTTTCACATTAGTCATGTTGTAAGGAAGAATTAGAACCAATAGGAAGAATCATCAGAAAGAGGAAACAAAACAAAACAGAAGAAAAAATAGCAAATAGCATGTTTCGATCTACATTCAAACTCCATAGTTCTTTCTCTGGGTGTGGATAGCATTTTCCATCATGAGACCTTTGGAGATGTCTTAGATCCTTGCATTGCTGAGAAGGGCTAAGTCTATCATTGTCAATTTCTTCAGGTATTAAAGGAAGAAATTGGCTTCTAAGGTGGTCTGTAAGGTCACTTCTAATTTTAAATCCTGTAATTCTATGAATAAGTTAATATAGTTTCCACTTGCCCTGTCTGTTCTTTCTATTGGATCCTGATGTCCCACAAGCTCCCTACCCCTAGGCTGAGGCCACTTGATGTGATGATAGAGTCAAGGCAAGCCAACCAGCATTTAGTAAACACCTACTCTGTGCCAGGCACTGGGCTATTATCTCACATAAGATAATATTTGTAAAGCACTTAGCATGTTACCTGGATCACTAGGTGCATAATAAATGATTGTTCTCTCCCTTCCCTCCCTCCTGCTAAGCACTGGTTATGTGAGATCAGGAGCTCCAGGAAGATCTCTTTTACCTCCCTTACCACCTGTTCCCTCACCAGAGAAAAAAGCGCCTCATCTCTCAACCAGAAACAAGAATGAGACTGGGTGGCCAGGCTGTCTCCCAGGGGGCTTGCATCCTGGTCTGGGTTCTCTCTTCCATTCATAGGACCATAGTCTCAGAATTGGAAGGGATCTCAGAGTGCATCTTAATGCACCCCATATCTGAGCAGAAATCTCCTTTATAACAAGTGGCAATTTAGCTTCTGCTTGAACTCCTCCAATAAAGGAACTCACTACTCTATAACTATACCTTACATACCTCGGCACCATTCCACTTTTGGACAGCTCTTATTGGTAGGAACTGGTTTTCCTTTATATTGAGTTGAAATCTGCCCCTCTACAGTTTCCGCCCAGTGGATCTAGTTTTGTCCCTGGGTCCAAACAAAACAAGTCTCATCCTTTAACAAGATAGTTCTTCTGATCCAGAGTTCATCCTGAGTTTTCACAGATCCTTGGCCCTTTCTAGACAGCAGGTCTGATAGGCTGGAGTGAGGGAGGGTGGGTGAGAAAACAGAGGGCCCTTGGGACTTGAAGGAGGAAGTTCTTTCCAGTGCTGGGGAATCTAGGAGGCACTGAATTGAGAATAAACTTTACTAACTTCCCAATCTTGCTGCAGGTTGACCTGGCCCTCTGTCAGCCTGAGGGGAAGTTCCATGCTTGCTGATTCCTTCACCAGGCTGAGAACCAGCTGATGCCATCAGCGGCTCCAGGGGAGAGATGGGGGGAAGTGACTGTCAGGATAAATTTCAATCAGTTGTGGGGAATGAAGTGGGGAACTCCTGACCCCTTTGGGGTCAGTGGGCCCTCCATTCCAGGCAAACAGCTGGTTCAATTTTTTTTAATTCTTTGAAGTAAAAGGGAAGTTTGGGGTGGGGTGAAAACTTCCTTAGTGACCAAGGAAGTTACCCCATCCCTGAGGTAATAGGCTTCCATGACAGGACAGAGACACAAGCCCTTTTGTCTTCTTGGGATAGCCTGGGCCCCATGCAGGGGGAGGCTGGTTAGGAAGGCCAGATTCTATAAGCAGATCCTGAGCTGACACTGGTGGGTTTCCCTGGCTATTCCTAGAGCCCTTTAAGGTTTACAAGACACTTTCCTCACAATTACTCTGTGAGGTAGGCAATGTGAGTTACCTTTAGGAAAAAATGAGGCTCAGTGGGGTTAAACGATTTGCCCAGGGTCACACAACCAGGAAGTGTGAGTGGGAATTTGAACCCATGCTTCCTGGCTCTAAGCCTAGCACTCTTGTTGCTACATATACAACATTGCCTCTGAGAAAGCCATCAGGGAAATGTTCCCTCTGAAAGATATCCCAACACTCTTCTACTCAAGAACTAACATGATTTCCCAACTTAACCTCTCTGAATCTATGAAATGAGAATAATATTATGTCCCACAACAAGATTGTTGTGAGAATCAAATAAAGATAAGTAAAGTGCTTTGCAAATCCCATAGTGCTACATAAATGTTAGCTGTTATTGTCATAGCTGCTATATCATCCTTGTCTTTTCAATGAAGTTATTATTGTAACTACTACCACCATCATTATTGCAATCCAAATGAAGTCCAAACTCCTCAGTTCTTCCAATCCAAGGGCTTCCATCACCTTGGTCCACTCTAGCTAATCAACTTTATTTACTCCTACTCCCCTATAAGCAGCTCCCAGCTCTATCCTGGTAGAACCCCCACTATCCCCTGAACACCCCAGGTCCCATAGAATGTAGGGTCCCTCAGGGCAAGAAATGTTTGTTTTTTACTTTTGTATCCCCAGTGCCTAGCTCAGTTCCTGAATTACAATCGGTGCTTAATCAATGCTTGCTAATTAATTGATTTCTACCTCCATGCATTTATTCATTCTGACTCCCCCTTGCACATCTCTATTGCCTTCTCCACTATTCTTTCTCTGTCAAAATCCTACTCCTAGCAAGTCCCATCTATTGTAGGAAGCCTTTCCTAACCATACCATAGTGATCCCCTCCCTTTCTGAAGGCCCAGAGCATTTGCTAGCTTTTGCCAGCTTTGACCCTCCATTGCATTAAGTCTAGCATTTGATGCTGCACTGTCCTGATTCTGTTTTTGATGTGGGAATCTTACTAACTGGACTGAGCTCCTTGTGATCAAAAACCTTGTTTGCTCATTCTCTTGCTCCCCTCCTCTAGGGCACTGAACACTGGACCAAGTACATAATAAGTAGTAAGTAAAGACTTAGAAAGTTCCTGGATGTGGGGTACACTTGTGGTACCTGCTCCTGGAGAGGATTCTGGTGGATTGCCTGAACATGAGAATTCTGAGCTTCAGTAGGGCTTGAGTTTAGGAGTTCAAAGCTATATTAGGGCTAAAAAACCAAGCCAGTGTCCACACTGAGTTTGGTATCAATATGGTGATGGGGGAGGAGTTAGTGGGGGAGGGGGTCACCAGGCTGCCTAAGAAGGGCAAACTAGCCTAGGTTAAAACTGTAGCAGGTCAAAGCTCTCATGCCAATTGGGCCCATGAGTGGTGGCTGTACTTCCAGCCTGGGTGAGACAGGAAGACCCAGTCTTCTCCCCTCACCCCTCAAGAATACAGAAAGCTAAAGAATGTCAGAGCTAGGAGGGACCTTAGAATATAGATTATCAGGGTTGAACATAGTCTTAGAGCACAGAACATAGCATATCAGAGCTGGAAGGAACCTTACAGCATGGACTGTCAAAATTCAAAGGGATTCCAGACATTATTTATCCCAACCCCTGCATTTTACAGATAGGGAAACTGAGAACAAGAAAATCACAAGACAGTGGGAAACCTAGGAATAGAACCCAGGTCTCCTAATCTCCAGTTCAGAGTTCTTTCCACTAATCTCTCTGGGCCTCAGTTTCCTCCTCTGTAAAATGAGAGGATTGACTAGATCTTCCTGAAGATCCTTCCCAGTCCATATTCCATGATTGTCATTGAATTTCACCTTGGGATCCTAAATGGAAATCATCTGTAAACATTCATTCAAGAGATGGTGAGTGAAAAGGCCTTTTAGTTTTTATTAACACCAGGTTATTCCCCATCCTCTATGGATGTCCTCCTTTAGAAACTTCTTGTGACCCCATGAAGACCCTGAGCATCAAGAATATAAGCTCTGGTGGGTCCTAGAAAGTTGGAAAGGTCTCTGGGGCCCCAAGATGCATCTGTTGTTCAGCCTTGTTAAACTCAGAGAGTCTCATTTTCTGAGGACTGGCCACCAGAGGATGGTTCTTTGGACCACAGCAACTCCTGAACCCAGATCCAAAGGTTTGAAAGAATCAGGGTTTGTATCAGGGGAAAGAACACCTACACTGATAAAGTAATGGATCCTTTAAAGTCCTGCAGGTTTTTCCATAGTTCATCTTCCTATTGGGAAGAGTAGAGAGTTGTCCTGGGCCCTATTCAGTCTGGCGCTGCCCAAGGGTTATTTAATGTTCCCTCTGGTAGCTCCTATCTTGTTGTTCAGTCTGACAAGACAGGGTACCATCCCTCTTTTCCAGCTGCCCTCTTGGAGCACCAAAGCTGATGCAAACTGGGAACTAAGAGGGTTTTCTTAAGGAGTCCTCTTTTCTCCCCTCCCCACCAAAGGGACAGTATCAGGCTGGGCTGCTGAGAACCCACGTGAGGGTAGTTCCTCTAAAAAACCATGAATCACCAAGGACCAGAGCCATAAACCCCCTGCTGGCAGAACCCAGTACTGCAGAGGCACTGTGTCCCTAAACTAGAAAAGGGCTGGGTAGGTGATTAGCTTGCCGTCCCTGGGACAGGGGCCAGCCACAGTGTTCTTGTTCCCTTGTCAGGGCTAGATTCAGGAGTCCCCTGAGGCATTTGCTTCCTCTACTTCCTCAGAAATTAATCCCATATCTCTTTTATTGAGGTCCCCATCCCTTCACTAACCCTCCCCCTACCCCCACTTCAGGTTCTGGGAATATTTTTAAATGCTTTCAATTGAGCATCTTCCTTCTCTGAGTATATATATCACAATATTTAGAGCTGAATAGGACCTTAGAGGCCATGTATCACAGAGATTCTTAACCATTTTGTGTCTATTGGACCCCTTTGGCAGTTTGGTAAAACCCGTGGACCCCTTTTCTGAACAGTGTTTTTAAATGCATAAAACAGAATCCATAGGATTACAAAGGAAACTAAAGGTTAATAAAAATAAAGATATAATTTCTTTTCCCATCCAAGTTCATGGACCCCTCTGAAATTTATTCATGGACCCTGTCCATGGACCCCTGGTTAAGAACCCCTGATCTAGTCCAAATCCCCCATTTCACAGATAAGAAAAATGAGGCCCAGAGGGGTTAGGTTACTTCCCCAAGGTCACTATGTAGTAACTTCAGATCAAGGCCCTCTGACTCCAAATCTAATGGTCTTTTCATTATACTCCATCAAACCTGACCCAGTGAAAATCTCCCAGGCCTCTTTACCCCACATTCCAGATACACTTTTGTCGTAGCTACACTGTCTATGCCCTCTATACCGCTCCCACTATGTGTGGTTGGGGGCGGGGTTCTCACAGGTAGTTGTCCTCTCCTTCCTCGGCTCTCCCCAAGCCCTCCTCATCCTCGCTGCCCTCCTCCTCTCCCTCTTGTGCCAGGGCCTCAATGTCATGGGTGATGCCAGTGAGAATACGATTGAAGGCCTCGGCTTCTGGGCGGGGAGCTCGACTGTCATAGCTGCGCACAGCAGAGGCTGACGTGGAGCTCATGCTTCGCTTGATCCGGCCAAAGCTGTCAGTGAGGATGCCGCCCTCTCGGATGCCCACACCCTCCAGGAAGCCTTCAAAGTAGCCGATGTCCTGGTCTGGGATAAAGGGCCTCATCCCTGTAGGGGCCGAGAGGCAGGTGACTGCTTTGTTATCCCCACTGTCTCCTGCCCCGTACTTCCCAGACAAAGGGGGAAGGGGCCCCAGGAGCCCCAGTCTGAGACTCTGAATCAGCAGGACTGGTATCTACAGCCCCATGTAGCTCCTTAATAGAGGGAGTGACTGGAAATTATAGGGTCACAGATTTAGAGCTGGAAGGGACCTTAGGCATTCAGTACAATGCTCTCATTTTATAAATAAGGAAACTGACACCCAAGGGTGTCACTAGTAAATGGCTGAGTCCAAATTTGAACCCAGGTCCTTGGACTCCAAATACAGTACTTTTCTCATTGCTACCTGTCTCAGAGGATGTGTCAGAGACTGAGCCGAAATGGACTTAACCAGATACACTGCCAAGCCTTCTCATGTACTGCTTTCTGGGCATTGCCTAGCAAGGTCCCGCAGGTAAATATGCTTTTAGCATATTTATTAAGTCACTAGAAGAAGCTCTGAAAGGGTAGGTACCACATCCTTACTCTTATTTCTCTCAGTGCTCTGCACAGGGTTCTCACACACACCATAGACGCACAGTAAAGGTTTGTTGAATTAAACACAGGAATGCTTTTCTTACGATGGTGATGCTAGTGATAATTAGGATGGTTGTGAAGGGTGGATGGTGGTAATGGTGTTAATGTCTAGAGAGTTCAATAAATTTTTGATGAATTGGATGGTGAGGGAAAGGGGCCAGGATAGTTATTGGGGTGATGGTGGTAGTGATGATACTGGTGTAATGGAGATGAAAATGGCAGGTAGTGATAGCGATGACTATGATAATGTTAATCATGATGATGGGGGGAGATAATGGTGGTAGTGGCGATGATGGTTATGGTGACGATTAAGTAAGATCCCATAGGGTCCTTCCGGATTACTAAGTTCAACCCTCTCATTTTAAAGAGGAGGAAACTAAGATCCAGAATGAAGTGAATTGCCCAACATCACACAGGGAGTACATGGCACAGCTGGGATTTGAACCCAGTTCTTTGGGGTCCAAATCCAGCATTCTTTCCGCTGTGCCACACCATAATGATGGTGGTAATGGGGATGGAGACAGTAATGATGGGGGTGGGGTCCAGGGCTGACCCTTCAAATGGGAGAAGGGGTTAGCGCATGCTCACCCAGAAGAAGGAACTTCCTCTTGTCCCCATAGAGCCGAAGAAGATGCCCACAGTACTCCTGCACAGACAGCCCCAGCCTGTATTCTCGCAGCAGCAGAGCAAACTGCTGGATCTCGGGTGGTGATAGCTTGTTCCGCAACTGTGGGGAAGAGCCAGGAGGTGGGACCAGGCAAAAGACAGAGGACAGGTCCACAGTGGGGTGCATATTCCACAGGGTTTGGCAAAGTATGGCTAGTATGATTGCTGGGGGTGAGGCCATAGGCAATTCAGGGGGCAGAGGGCACTGTGGAAAGGGGGATGGCCTGTGATCTCAATGTTCTTTTAGTTAGAAATGTTTTTTCTAACTGGCCCCTCTCTACTTGCTTCCTAGAGAACTAGAGAGAAGATGGAGGCCCAGGACAGGAACCAACTACAGGGACACATATCTCTGTCCTCTGTCCCATCAGAGGACTTCACTGAGGGATCTGGACATGGGAGTATAGGTGCCAGATGAACAGGGGTCCCATGAGATAGGGGAGGATGCAGACTTCCAGGGAAGGAAAGGGGCAGGTGGGAGCTCGCATGGGGCACATGGGGGAAAGAGGCAGAGGTTTCATTGGGCACCACAGGATGTGGGTATGTGGGAGGGGAAGAGAGACAGGTCAAATAGACAGACATGAATGGGTGTGGAAGGACGGGGGTGGAGGGTGGGGAATGCTGTGAGTGAGCAAAGGCTTCTACAGAGTGCAAAAAGATATAGAAGCTCAGGAAAGAGGGCAGGTGAGCTGGGACAATCAATCTCCAGAGCTTGGGAAAGTGGCACTGACCTTGCCCAGGCCTTACCGTCACCATATAGTCCTGTAACTGCTCCAGACCCAGGCTGCTGCCATCGCTTTCACTGCAGTGAGATCCCTGGAAGGAGGGTGTGGATGTCCCACTATAATAAGCTTCGAAGGTGTCATGGGAGCCATTACTGGAAAGCACAGACAGAGACAGGTGCCCTGATTCCCTCCACTGGGCCCTCTATTCCTGCCTGACCAACCCCCTCCGCAATCCTCCCTTCTGCCAGGGTCCCTTCAGCCCAGTGTGTAGTCTCCTAGGGTCTGCCACGTTAGTCAGTCAGTCAGTCAGTCAATAAACATTTGATAAGCACCTACTATGTGCCAGGCACTGTACTAAGTGCTGGGGATACAAAGAGAAGCAAAAGACAACCCTTGCCCTCAAGGAGCTCACAGTCTACTGGGGGAGATAACACACAAAAAACTATGTATGAACATGTTATATACAAGATAAATTGGAAATCATCAAAAGGAAGGCACTAGAATTCTGGAGGATTGTCCTAGAACAGAAGCATCAGATACCCAACATAGACTATGAGCTCCATTGGGGCAGGAATAAATAGCATGCATCTTAATTCAACTTTGCCTCTTTACCCAGGGCCCTTCACGTAGTAGGTATTTAATAAACATAGAATGTTTAATAAATGAAATCCCAGTTACCCGAGGAGGGTGCTCAGCTTTGTGGCTCCATCTCAGGTTTTCAGCCTGAGCCACAACTCCTTTTCTTCTCTTCCCCCCTTACCTAAACACACACACACACACACACACACACACACACACACACACACACAAGGATGGTTGTGAAGGGTTGATGACAGAGATATGCTGGAGTCCAGATCAAGGGCTAAAATTTTAGCGTAAATATTTACGCCTCAGAAATCAGCAAATGCTACAAATCAAGGCTTGATATATTCATTGTCTAAATTTAAGAAAGTGTTAAAAATGCAGATTAAACTTAAAAATGTATATGCATATAATTTCCCCCCCTAAGAGCGCATTTGTTAAACATTGACCAACACAGCCCTGGCTGAGGGTGACAGTGACATTGTTGATGATAGAGGATTCAATAAATCTTCAATAAACAATGGAATGGTGCTGGGGGGGGGGGAGATTTAGTTATTGGGGTGATCATAGGATCATAGAATGAGAGCTAGGAAGAATCTTGTAGCCCATGTAGTCTAATGCCCTCATTTTATAGTTGGGGAAACTATGACATATGCTACTGATCACGGGCTGTTCTCCAGGTACAATCTCATCTTTAACCTAGAATCAGGGGATCAGTTTTAGACACATAGGGAAATCATAAGCATGTCACATACACCAAGAGCACTCAAAATAATTTCTCAATTATATACAGGGTTAAAAAAACCCACTGACTGAAGGAAGCTCAAATGTAGCAGAAAGGACCCTGTTCTTGAGGGCAAAAGAACTGTGTGTTCTGGGACCAACACTTTCTATTGATATGATGTGATGCTCATTGATTGGGGTGGCTAATTTGTGAGATGACCCTGTGTTACCTTGTGCTTGCTTTGTGGTGTAGTGGAAAGTGCTGGATTTGGAGTCAGAAATATTTGGATCCAAATGCTAGCTCTTCTATCTAGTACAAGATGATTGATAAAATTCCTCTCAGCTCTTTTATTTATTACAATTATTAGAGTCTCTCCTAGCTCTTCTATACTGCAATTGACAAGGTCCCTTCAAACTCTCAGGCCTGTGATCCTGTGACATGTGCAGCTTTGGGTAAATTCCTTCCCTTCCCTAGGTAGGCTTCAGTTTCCATATTGATCACTGAAGGCGCTGGACCAGATGACCCCTAAAGTCCCTTCTAGCCCTGACTTTCTATGATCTGTGTTCTAAGGTCCCTCTCAGTGCTTGTGCTTTATAGGTCTTTTTGTGGCTTAGTGAGTTTCAAGCCTGCTAGGTGATGATCGAGCATCTTTAGTTTCCTCATCGTCCCCCACAGCGCCTAGAGCCAGGTTAGCACACAGCAGGGACTCAGCCAGGGACATCCTTCTTGCCAGACAGTGGTGAAGAATTTCCCCAGGAAACAACCAGGTGTCTGGGGTAACTACTGGGTGCATGGAGAGGGATAGGGATTGGGCTAGGGGGAGGGGAGAGGGACAGCACCATCTCTGGTGGCGGTCGGTACCTACAAAGAGCTGCAGCAACTGAAATCAGCATCATAGCCATAGGTCCCATCTGTGCGGCAGCTCTCACCTGCAGTAGGACAGAGATCAGTTAGAAGAAAAAGCAGGATTCTATCTTTCCTGGGGCCATCTTCTTTCCCTCCACTGGCCCCATCCCCAGACAGTGTCCTAGGCACAACTCCCTAATTCCTATCCTCATGCAATTCTCTGTCCCTTAATAATAGGTCATGTTTCCCTGGTCATTTAAGGCTTACAAAGCATTTTCCAGAGAAGATTAAAAAAACACCAGTGGGTTAGGTAGTTAAAATATTATTATCTCCATTATACAGAGGAGGAAACTAGGGATCAGAGATGGGAAGTGATTTGTCCAGGGTCGTGTAATTAGTAAATGTCAGAGCCAGGATTTGAACTCAGACCTTTTGTTTATAAAAACAATCCTCTTTCTGCTATACTGCAGTCTTCTTTTCTAAGCCATGAAATATAAAGGACAATTGAAGAATCTAGGTGTATTTAGGCTGGAGAAGGTTGTTGTGTTTGTCCTTCATTCTTGAAGAGGACCATGACATCAGGGAGTTGATGACATGACTTGTGATTGATTTTGATTTAAGCGAGGGAGGGCTGGGCAAAGTCACCAGCCTCACTTTCTCCTCCAGAACCACCTGGGTCCAGTGGCCAGATGCACATCAGGACGACTGGAGATGGCCCACAGCTGAAGAAGAAAAGATTTAGGGGCAGGATGGGGATAGAATTGGGGTAGGATGGGGGCAGGATTCCTCCCTGTCTTCAAAAATCATGAAAGCCATCACTGGGTTTAGGCTTGTTCTTCATGTTCCCAGAGGTCAGAACCAGGAGCGGTCAGTGGAAATTATAATGAGGCAGATTTAGGGTTGATGGAAGAGAAAATTTCTAAAAATGGGTTGCCTTAATTGGTAGGATCCTATCTAGAGCCATCTAGTCCACCATTACCCCCAATTTAGAGGTGAAGAAGCAGAGGCCCAGAGAAGTTTAGGCCTCTAGGGTCACATGGCAGACATGGGATTCGAGCCCAGGTTCTCTGTCTGAGCTCCTTGTAACAGGAAGTGTTCAAACTGGGTGGATAGCCCTTAATCAAGGATACTGTAAAGGAGGTTCTTTTGAAGGATGGCAAACTGGCCTGGAGACTTGCCAGATCTCTTTTAGCTCTGGAAGCCTATAATTCTAGTCTTAGTCCCCATTCCAAAATTAAACCTCAGGTCCTGCCAAAGCAGGAACCATGTATATTCTTTCTTTTCTTGGGTGTTTCCCAATACATAGCACAGGGCTGGGCACACAGGAGGGAGATGTTCAATAAAGACTTCTTAATTAGTTGGTTAAGTCTGGAGTCCCTCAGGACCAGGCCCTCTGGCTCCTCAGCTTCTAGCTCTGTTCTCCTTTATCTGAATCTGCCTTTCTCTTGCGCCTCCAATCTTTGCATGTGCAATCAAACTTCTGTCTGAGTTGGGTGGGAAAAGGCTGGAGAGACAGATGGAATCCAACCAAATTGCATGACTCTCATTTTTCCACTTCTGTATCACCCCCCCACGCATAGAGTACCTAGGGCAGGGCTAGCACTGAATGACAGCTCATCTAAAGATCCCTCCCTCTTTGCCTAATACTGGCCCAGAATTTTCACAAGGAACAGAAAAGAGGAATCTGGAGGGACAGCTAGCTGTGGGGAACAGAAGAAGGGATCTTTGCTCAGGCTCCTAGTCCTGGAATGTCCTTTCTCTGCCCCTTCCTGCCATCTCTACCTGCTGAAATCCTTTCTTTACCTCAAGGCCCAGCTCAAATGCTTTGACCTCCACAAAGCCTTCCTTGACTTTCTCCCCACTCTCTGAAGATGGAAGTGAGCTCTTTCATCTGACCTTATAGTACTTTGTTCATACCGCTCTTAGGTATTTACTATTGGAGAGACATTTGAGCATAATGGAAAGTCACTGGACTTGGAGTTAGAAGTCCAGAGCATGAGTCATAGAATCACAGCATCTCAGAAATAAAAGGGACTACAGAGCTATTTGGTCCAGCTGGTGCCAGAACAGATATTGTCTCTAGCATGTAGCCAACACAGAGCCATCCAGACTCCACTTAAAGACCTTCAGTGATGGCAGATGTATTACCTTTCAAGGCAGTCCACTCTACTTTCGGACAGCTCTAATTATTGTCAAGGGGACAGCTAGGTGGCTCAGTAGATAGAGTGCCTGACCTGCTGGAATCAGGAAAACTCAGCTTCCTGACTTCAAATCTGGCCTCAGATACCTACTAACCGTGTGACCCTAGGCAACTTAACCCTGTTTGCCTCAGTTTCCTCATTTGAAAAAGAGTTGGAGAAGGAAATGGCAAACCGCTCCAGTATCTCTGAAAAAAAAAACAAAACAACAACCCTCAAATGGGATCACAAAGAATTGGACATAAAAAATAATTGAGCAATGAGTTATTGTCAAGTTTTTCCTTGTATGGTACTGAAGTCTACGGTATGGTATATTGGGAATGCAACTAGATTTGGAGTCAGAAGACCCGGGTCCCAATCCTGGCATAATTACCAGTGTGACTTTCAGTAAATCCCTTAATCTCTCTGGGCCTAGTTTCCTCATCTATAAAATGAAGGGATTAGATTGAAGGAAGGAAACAAGAATTTATTATACATCTACAGTGTGCTAGGCACTGTGCTAAGTGCTTTACAATTATTATCTCATTTGATCCCCACAATAACCCCATGAAGAAGGTGTTATTATTATCCCTATTTTACAGATGAGGAAACTGAGACAAATAGGGATTAAATGACTTACCCAGGGTCATACAGCTAGTAAGTGTCAGAGGCCACATTTGAAGTCAGGAAAATTAGTTTTTCTGACTCTAGCCACTCTTTATACACAGTAGGTGCTAAATAAATGTTTGGAGGGGTTGAAGGATGTGGAATAGCTTTCTAGCCCTTGGTTTCTCTCAAAGGCAGCTGATCTGTACTTCCTGCCTAATTAGATTCTTTGACCTGGGTTCAAATCTTATCTTGGGATCTTATTACCTGTGTGACTCTGAGCAAATCACTGAACCTCTCTAGGCCTTATTTTCTTCATCTATAAAAAAAAATGAAGGCATTGGACCAGTTGAGAGGCTTTATGGAGTAGTGAATAGTGTGTTGGACTTTGAGTCAGGAACACCTGGCTTCAAATTCCACTCCATGCTTACTAGTTGTGTGACACCCCTCTCCCCCAGTCAGTCACTTAACCTCTCTAAGCTTCAGTTTTTCCTCATCTGTAAAAACAAAGGGCCTGAACTACCTGATCTCTTGAGGTCCCTTTCAGCTCTAAGTTCCCTGATCATTTGGTTCATTTCATTTTGGTTTAGGGAGAAGAGGAGGGTGGTACCGAGGTAAAGCTGCCTCTGACCCAGCACTCACTGCGGCTGATAAGCCAGGGCCGTTCAGGGGTAGAGGTGTAGTGGTAGCCAGCCCGATCCACACACTCAATGGTCTGATCTCCATAGATGATCTGGAAGACCTGGCAGATGAGAGCACAGTATTCTTCGGCTGCATCCTGACCACAAAAGAGAGGAGAAGTTAGTAATTGAGAACATCTCCAAGCTGGGGTGTGGGGGTGGTAGGTGTGGCAGCTTTAGCAGTCTGGAAAGTGAGAGTCAGAGTGGTGCTGAGGAAAGAGTACTAGGCCAGAGATTTGGGAGACCCAGATCCTAGGCATAGCTCTGTCTCCAATTTGCTGTGTACTTTTGGACAAATTATTTCTGCTTGCTGAGCCTTAGTTTCCCTGTTTGTGAAATGAGTGGGTTGGCCTGTGTGGTTTCTCTAAGGCCCCTTAGCTCTAACATTCTATGCTCTTTCAAAAGGTCCCTTCCAGCTTTAACATTATAACTGGTTGTCACATTCTTCTCTATTCCTTTCTTTCAGCCATTGTGAATATTCCTTACAAAGGGGCATTGGAGGGAGGCTGGGAATATCAAGGACTCTAGAGAAAAAAAAAAAAAGATTTATTCTCATACTAGGTCCTGACCATCAGGTTGGGGATATATTTAAAACAGGTCAGGCTTTTAGGGAACCCCCTTTAATTATAGTTATCCCTTCCATATCACAGCGGCTAGGGGTATGGTGCCCCTGTGATCTGGAAAATCCATGTAAAATTTTTTGGCCTTCCTTTCATACCAGAGAAGAAGTCTGAATTTTTTCTTTTTCTTTTATGGGATGTTTACAGTACCTTATTGTAAAATTTGGGTTATTATACAATATTATGCATATATTTTGTGCATTCTAAGTCGTCTGCTGGCCTTCATGTGTCATCTATGGTTTCTGTAAAACTCCCCTAAAATTCCCGTTTAATTTCTTATGCCAACCCACAATACAGCAAAATCATGATTGAGAAAGCCACAGTGTGGAAGGGATAACTGTATAGTCATTGTTTTCAGTATAGTTGCAATATAGGATGGAGCTTTGGGGCCCCTCAGCCCCGTGATGTTATAACATCCCTCACCTCCATCTTTTCTCTCTTCTTGTGGCCACCACCCAAGTTCTACCTGGTCTATTGGAATAACTGCTTAACTGGTCTTCCTGCCTCCAAATCTCTCCTCTGTCCAATCTGTCCTTTGTGTGATGCTAGAATTATTTTCCTTAAGTATGGATCTCTTCAGGTTACTCTTCTGTTCAAAAACATTTAATGGCTCCGTATTGCTTCCCAAATAAAGTTCAGACTCCTCTACCTGACATTCAAAACCCTCTATAATTGGACACAACCCTACCTTTCTAGTCACTGGATACTCCCCCTTGCATTCTACACTGTAATCAAACCAAGCAACTTTGTCCCTATTACGTACCCTGACCTTTCCCAACCCTGCGCCTTTGTTTATGCTGAGCTTAGAATGTGCCTATGTCCCTCTCTATCTGAATTACTGAATCCTTACCCGACCTTCAAAGACTACCTCTTCCATGAAAGCTTCCCTGATTCTCCCAATTCTTTCTTTTTTGGGGGGGGGAGGTAATGGGGTGAAGTGACTTGCCCAGGGTCACACAGCCAGTAAGTGTAAAGTGTCTGAGGCCGGATCTGAATTCAGGAATTCCTGAATCCAGGGCCGGTGGTCTATCCACTGTGCTATCTAGCTGCCCCTGATTCTTCCAATTCTTGGTAATGACCTTGACCCTCAGACTTCAAATATTATCCTGCACCTCTCTAATGGATTTATCATATAATGTTGTGTATTAGAGTTTTCTGGGTTGGTATCTTATGTCCTTATTAGACTTTGAGTTCCACGGAGGTAGGGGATAGACAGAGTACTGGATTTGGAATCAGGAAGACTAAACAAATCATTTAACTTCCTTAAGACAAAGATTCTTTGTCTGTAAAATGGGATCATGCCAATTACTTCATGGGTTACTGTAAGAATCAAATGTATGTAAAGTGTTTTGTGAACCCTAAATTGCTATAGAAATGTTAGTTTCTAAATTTTGTATTTTCCTCAGTTTCTTGTACAGTGTTCTGCAAACAGTAGGTGACTAAGAAATGTCAGTGGAGCTCTTTTTATAATAGTGAAGGACTGAAAACAAAATAGATACCGCTTGGTTGGGGAATGAATAAACAAATTGTGATACATGAATATGGTAGAATATTGAGTATTGTAAGAAATAAATATGATGAATACAGAGAAATATGAAGAGACTTATGTGAACCAATGTAAAGTGAAAATAAGTAGAACCAGGAAAACAATAGATATAGTAACTACACACTGTAAAAGGAAACTGGCAACAAAACAATTACAACCAAAAGCTGTGGAATTATCATTACCAAGCTGGGCCCTCAAGAAGGGATATGGAAGTGTATCTTCATTCTTTCTTCACAGAGGTAGAGGACTATGGATAGGTATGAGACCTTGAATATAATGTTGGATGTGGTTGTTATGTTGGTTAATTTTGCTGAATTGTTTCTTTTTCTCTTATTAATTCTTTGTTATGAGACATAACTCTTTGGGAAGGGGAAAGGATATATTGGGAAATGTAGGTGAAGTAAAAATAAGAGACATCAATGAATTTTTCTTAAAATATCTGTTGAGTTGAAATTGGTTGAATGCTGTGGCCCAGACTGGGGCTCTAGGGCCCCTCAAGTCAGATGACCTCTAGGCCATAGCCGTTCAATTCACCTTGGTTGAGGGGATAACTCACCCTATTGGCAACTGCCAGGATGATGAGGTTGCAGTAGGCATCAGGGCTAGGATCCTGAGGGTCCAGGGGGTTGAGACCAGGTTGTCGGCGCTCCCAGCTGCCGCCACTGAAGGTCTGCCGCCGCTCCCAGCTGCCCCCAGGCTTGCCCCCCTGCCGCCACTCCCAGCTGCCCCCAGGCTTGCCCCCCTGCCGCCGCTCCCAGCTGCCACTGAATGTCTGGCGCCGTTCCCAGCTCCCAAAAGCCCGGCCCACAGCTTTCTTCTCACCAGCACCTTGCTGTCGTTCCAAGCTGCCCCCCCCCCCACCACCACCAGTGGCCCGGCCCTCGGTGCCCCCCCATGCCATCCTCCAGTCCAGGCTGCAGATGGTGTGGCGTCGCTCCACACCACTTGAAGGCGGTCTAGGTTCAGGACCGCTGCCTGTTGACCTCTTCTCAGGGGTCATGCCAGCCACTCCAGGCTCCCGCCTGCCACCGGGGCACACATCCAGGCCAGCAGGCACTGGATCCACACCCAGCCCTAAGAGAGGACGAAAAAATGACCACATAACCAAGACCAAAGGTTAAGGCATGGGAAGGAAAGAACATGTCGCCACTTGGGACCTGCTTCCTCTACCTTTCATGTAGAAGGGGAGTGTGGGATGGTGGCAAATCTTTTGGGCAAAGAGTCAGAACACCTGGATCATGGTCCATATTATCTCTAAGGTACCTTCCAGTTTTAAAAACATGTACAAGTCAATTGCTACATATATGAACCCGGGCAAATCGCTTGATTCCTGAGCCTTAGTTGCTTATCTGTAAAATGGTGATAATAATTCCTGAATTACGAACCTCACAGTAAGGATCATAGTATCCCAGATTTAGAGATTGAGGGGTTCTGGAAGGTCATCCAGTCAAGAAATGGGTCCCAAGATGATAAGTGATTTTCCCAAGGTTGCGCAAGTAACGAGGAGCCCAGGAAGATCCTGTGGTTCCTATATACCTCACTGCTTCTCAGTACCACTAAATGAATAATGAAAGCAGATCTAGCCCTGATCAGTTGGGTGACTGGTGAAGTGGAGAGAACACTAGATTTTTGAATTCATCGTCCTGGGTTAGAATCAGGTTCTGTTACTTACTACCTAAGCCTCCCTTTCCATCAGTATAAAATAAGGACTAGACCAGATCCCATCTAAGATCTGGACAAGGCCACTCCAGTATCTTTGCCAAGAAAGCTCCAAAAGAGTCAGACACAACTGAAAACAAATGAACAACAAGGTCCTTTACAGTTCTATATCCCCTGGGATTGCAAACTTCTCTCATCCTCAGTTTCCTCATCTGCAAAAATGGGGATAACAGTTCCCACTCTATCTACCTCAAAAGAAGAGTTGTAGTGAACAAAGTGCTTTGTAGTAATGAGAGCTGTTATATTATTCCTGGACAAGGCACCCCACTGCTTTCCTGTCTTTGATACGAGTGTGAAAGTCAGGGCAGAGCCACACAGAGAGAATAAGGAATCAGAAAACTAGGGTTCAAATCTTGACTCACAATCATTGATGATGATGTTTCATTTTTCAGTTGTGTCTGACTTTTCCTGACCCCATTTGGGGTTTTCTTGGCAAAGATACTGGAGTGGTTTGCTATTTCCTTTGACAGTCCATTTTACAGATGAGGAAACTGAGGCAAACAGGGTTAAGTGACTTGCCCAGGGTCACACAGCTAGTAAGTGTTTGAGGCCAGATTTGAATTTGGGGAGATGATGCTTCCTCATTCCAGGGCCTTGCACTCTATCCACTGCACCTCCTAGTTGTTCCTACAACCATTATCTGTGTGATATTGGGCAGGTGATATCCCTCGTCAGTCTCAGTTTCCTAATGAGGGGAATAACTATTTATAGAGTTCCTACTATGTACCAGGCACTGTGCTTTTTACAAACATTAACTTATTTGATCCTCATAACAACCCTGTGAGGTAGGTGCAATTATTATCCCCATTTTACAGTTGAGGAAACAGAGGCAAACAGAGATTTAAGTGACTTGCCCAAAGTTGCACAGTCAGTTAACTCTTTGAGGCCAGAGGTCGTTCTGACTCCAGGCTTGGTGCTGTTTCCACTATGCCACCAGCTGTCTCTGCCTATCTCCATCATCAATAAAATAAAGGAGTTGGATCAGTAATGTCCCTTGTATCCTCCTCATAGATTCTAAGCACCCTGAAAGTAGGGACTTTCTTACATTTGTATTTGTATCATCCCCAGCATCTCAACTGTGCCTGGTACAAAGAGGAGCTTAATAAATGGTTGGTCCTAGGAGGCACTTCGGGTGAGAGACCAGGGCGGGGGTCAGGAGGAGACGATCTCAAAGGTAGAATCCTTTGGAAGAATGACTTTGGTCTGACCTCTAGTATGTTTCAATTGGCCCTGCTCTGGAGCCTCCCTCACCTCATCCCCATTCCCGAATTCTAGCGGTGTAGTCTTCACTCGCCCCTCCCCGACCCCCGCCCCCAGCCCCTGGACCAGTCTTCCCCTAGGGTCCCGCCCCGCCTTGTGTCTCACCCGTCTTGAGCACTAGCAGGTGGAGCGCATCGTCCTGCAGGTAGGAAGCAGCCGCGATCTCGTGCGTGGGTATGCGCAGGATCAGCTCCTCATTGTCCCTCCATGTGAGGAGCAGGCACCTCGCGGACAGGCTGAGGATGCTGTCCTGCTCCAGGGTGCTCTTCAGGGGCAGCTCTTTCAGCTGCTGCGGAGCCAGAGCCAAGGAGGAGTGTCGAGGGAGCTGCCCCTGGGGCCTCAGCCAAGTCTACCTTGCCCCTCCCCCAACACACCCACACACCCGCTGCCTGCCCTTGCCCCTGTCCTGTCTTAATCTGCCCAGAAGCTCCACAGGAGGAAACTGACGGTGGGATGGGATGGAGACAGTGTCCTGCCCACCCTGTCCACCCTCCCCACTCCTACCTTCCTCTCTCCTCACCCGTGCAGTGTCCAACAGCTGCAGGAGTTCATCCCGGCTAGAGGGGTTCAGGGAGGAGGTGACCCAGGTTAAGTGTCCTAGAAACTTAACGGGAAGCCCAGAGCAGTCACTAGGGCACTGAGAACTTTTGCTCTCTCCCACTGGTTGAAACACTCCCCTGAAGAGAAGGCCTATAAATTTAGAGCTGGGAGGGCCCTTATAGAAGGGAAGAGAATAAGCATGTATATAGTACCCATCAGGCACTGGGCTAAATGTCATTATAAACATCTTATTTTATCCTCACAGGAACTCTTTTAGGTAGCTGCTATTATTATTATTTTAAAGCTAGGTAGTACTGTGAATGGAGCATTAGCCCTCAAATCAAGAAGACCTGAGTTCAAATCAGCCTCAGATACTAGTTGTGTGACCCTGGACAAGTCACTAAACCTCTTTTTGCCTCAGTTTCCTCATCTGTAAAATGAGTATAATAATAGTACCTACCTTCTGGGGTTGTAAGAATCAAATGAAATGATCATTGTAAAGTGCTTAGCACAGAATAGGTGCTATATAAATAATAGCTATGATTATCCCCATTTTACAGTCGAAGAAACTGAGGAATACAGAGGTCAAATGACTTGCCCAGGGTCACACAGCTAGTATGTGTCTAAGGCCAGATTTGAACACGTGTCTTTCTGATTCCAAACCCAGTGCTCTATCCACCGAGCTGCCAGAGACTTTTCTTTTAGTCATATATTAATATATTATAAGGGGTAATCATACCCCCTTATTTTACAGATAAGAAAAAGGAGGCTCAGAGCAGTTAAATGACATAGTCAGGATCACATGGCTAGTAATGCCAGAGGTGGGCTTAACATTCCAGTCTTCTTGACTCCAGATCCAGCAACCTCGCCACTATATTTCTATGCTCTTCAGGGGATGGGGTAGGGGACATTGTGGAGACGGGGGAACCTGTACCTTTTGGGGGCTGCTAATAAAATAATAATGCCCCCATTATGTATCCCTTTAAGGTGTTTAAAGTGATCCCAGCAACCCTGTGTAGTACAAATATTATCTCTATTTTACAGAAAAGTAAACTGAAGCTTAGAACAGTTGGCTGTGGCCAAGGTAACAAAACTAATAAGCAGAACCAGGGTCTGAACCTAGGTCCTTTTACCTCAAATCCAATGTCATTTCCACCATATCATTGATGCAATTTTGGGGGTTGGGACAGGGAAGCAAGGCCAAGGCAAGATGTTTGTCACTTGGCCCTCTGCCATTCTTTCCCCCATCCCTAGGACAGTCAAGACAGACCCACTAAATCCTGTCAGAGCCCCTCTGATGAGACTTTGTCCCTAGTGGGACCATCAACATCACGGCTCTGCTATTAGAAGACCTGGGTTCAAATCTCATCTCTGACACTATCTGTGTGATCTTAGACAAGTCATTGAATTTCTCTCATTTTCCTCATTTTCCTCTTCTGTGAAACAAGTGGGCGGAACTAGATGACTTCTAAGGTTCCTCCCAGTTCTAGATCAATGGTCTTGTGCAAAATGGATAAAAGACATATCTTTCAGTCTGGAAGAACAGGGTTCAAATCACATCTCTGACACATACCAGCTCTGTTACCATTTGGATCTCACAACCTCTCAGTGCCTTAGACAATTCTTTAAGACTATATACACTCAAGAATGGTCTGTATCAGAGAGGCAGTATGGTATAGTGGACAGAATGCTAGATAACCTGGGTTCTAATCCTGGCTCTGCTCTAGGACCTATTCTGTGGATCCTCTGCAAAGACCTATGTGACCTTGGGTAGGTCATTTCATTTCTCTGTGCCTTAGTTTTCTCATCTGTAAAATGATGGGGTTGGGCTATGACTGTTAAGGTCCCTTCCAGTTCTTTATCTATGATCCCCATCAGAAGTTCCCCCACACTGAGGAAGCCTTAGGTCCAAATTTCCCTCCTCCCGAATTTTATGGCACTTCACAAGGTTTGTGAAGTACTTTCCTCACAGGTCTGGAAGGTAACAAGGACAAAAATAATTATATAATTAACCCAATTTTACATCATTGACTCCTCTCTCTCTCTCTCTCTCTCTCTCTGTATCTGTCTCTGTCTGTCTCTCTGTCTCTCTCTGTCTTTCTGTCTCTCTCTCATATTCAATCTGTTCCTGAGTCCTGTTAATTTTAGGTTTATAAAACCTCTCATATATGCCTCCTTCTCTGTTCTCATCACCTCGTACCTGAACTATTGCAATAGCCTCCTGGCTGGTCTCTCTGCTTATGATTTCAGCCCATCCTCCACTCGCTGTCAAATTAATCTTCCTAAAGCCCAGGTCTGACCATATCACACATATACACACCTTAATAATAATAACTGATTTATATAGTGCTGTAAGTTTGCAAAGTGCTTTACAAATATGTCATTTTATTCTCACAACAAGTAGGTACTATTATTATCCCCATTTTATAGGTGAGGAAACTGAGACAGGCATTGGTGAAGTGACTTGCCCAGAGCCACACAGCTAGTAATTGAGGTTGGATTCAAACTCAGGTCTTCTTGACTCCAGGTCCAGAGTGCTATCCACTCTGACACCTAGCTGCCTCGATAAACCATTCAATCCTATTCAACAAATTCTAATGGTTCCCTATTACCTCTAGGATCAACATAAAATCCTCTTTTTGGATTTTGAAGCCCTTTATAACCTGGTCCCTTCTTACCTTTCCAGTCCTCTTACATCTTACTCCCCTCTGCATGACATTGGCCTTCTTGCTGGAACAGGACTCTGTCTCTCTCCACACTCTGACCATCTTCCCTGGCTTTCTGTCTCCCCTGCCTGGAATGCTCTCCCTCCTAATCTCTACGTCCAGGCTTCCCTGGCTTCCTTCAAGCCGTAGCTAAAACCCTACCTCCTGCAATAGGAAGTTTTTTCCTATCCCTTTAATGCTAATTCCTTCCCTCTAAAATTAGTTTCATATACATGTATATATAATATGTATATATGCATGTATATATGTGTGTATCTATATATCTTTAGCTATATATCTTGTTTGTACATAACTGTTTGCATGTTGTCTCCCTCATTAGCTAGAGGCACCTAGATGGAGGAGAAAGGGAGGAAGGGGACAAGCATTTATTAAGCACTTACTATGTGCCAAGGTCTGTTCTAAGAGCTTTACAAATATTATCTCATTTGATCCTCACAACAACCCTGGGAGGTAGGTGCTCTAGCACTGGGCCTGGAATAGGAAGACCTGAGTTAAAAATCTGACCTCAGACACTTACTAGCTGTGTGACCTTGGGGAACTCATTTTGCCTCTGTCTGCCTTAGTTTTCTCAACTGTAAAATGGGGATCATAATAGTGCTTACCTTCCAGAGTTGTGGTGAGGACAGTGCCTGGCATAGTAGGTGCTTAATAAATGTTTGTTTCCTTTTTTTCCTTCCCCATTAGATCCTGTGCCCCTTGAGGACTGGGACTGTCTTTTTGCCTTTCTTTATACCCCCAATGCTTAGCACAGTGCCTGGCACGTAGTAGGTGCTTAATAAATGCTTGTTGACTTGTTGGCACAGCCAGAGCTGGGACTCAAATCCAGTGCCCTTTTGCCTGTACCATACTGACTTATCCTTTTCCTCCTATCCTTTACATTCTTAAAGCATTTTGCACTTTTCAAAAGCATTTTCACTGTCTTATTTAATCCTTACAAAATCCCTGTGACATAGAAAGGACCATTCATTCACAAAATTGAGTTTTATTGTGGAAAGAACCTTGGATTTGGACTCAGAGAACCAGAGTGGAATCCCAGTTCTGGTAAGTACCTGATCTTGAACAAATCACTTAAATTTGGGGGGCTCAGTCCAATCTATAAAATAAGGAGTTTGGAAGAGATGACTCCCTCTAAAACTCCAGTTCAAAACCCTACAAATGTGCAGAACACATTTGTTTAGATGAGATTTGGTTCCTGCTCTCCTAGAGCTTAGAGTCTGAAAGGAGAGTAGAACATACACACACACACACACACACACACACACACACACACACACACACATGTTATCGTTCTTCTCATTTTCCAGACTAGGAAACAGAGGTCCAGGGGTCAAGGTCATACCTTAAACTAGTGATGAGCCTGGATTAAAAAACTCCAGTCTCCAGACCACTTTAGTAATTCAGGAGTCTCCCCCAGTGGCCAATTAACATAAATTTGCATAACCAACCAGCTAGAGGTTGCCTAATCCCTGCTCTGGGCCAAACCTAGAGGGGAGAGAAAACGAAGCTTCAAAGGGTAGGGGAAGACCTTTAAGTCAGTCATTCCATAACCATCTATTAAGCACCTACTATGTGCTAGGCACTGTGCTAAGTGCTGGGGATACAAAGACAGGCAAAAGTCAGTTCCTGCTCTCATAGAACTCAATCTGATGAAGCAGAAAGCATTTAAACAACTATGTACAAACAGAATATATACAGGTGCCATCTAAAATGTTAAGGAACAAAGAAATTCATTTGGCAGCTCTATCCACCAGCAATGCACTCTCTCCCAGTCTGTTCTTGGGGCCCCCAAGCATCTCTGGCCCTAGGTCCTATAGTTCTAGGAGGTCATCACACACAGAGACCCAACTCTTCTGATCCTGTAAACTTTAAAATATTATATAAATGTGAACTATTATCAGTAGTAAACCTGTGGACTAGAGAATGAGACTGATTAGTTGAAGACTGTGTCCACGACTGGGAGCTAGGTGGTAAAATGGATAGAGCACTCACTGGGCCTGAAATCAGGAGCTTCATTAAGTTCAAATCTGGTTCTAGACACTTACTAGCTGTGTGACCCTGGGCAAGTCACTTAACCCTGTTTGCCTCAGTTTCTTCATCTGTAAAATGAACTGGAGAAGAAAACAGCAAACCACTCTAGTATCTTTGCCAAGAAAATCCCAAACAGTCACAAAGGGTCAGACACAAGTGAAACAACTCAACAACAACAAAATGCTGCTGAAGGCATTCCATTGGACTATAACCTCCTTGAGGGTAGGGACTGTATTTTTATTTGTATTTGTATCCCTAGTACTTAGCATAGTGCCAGGCACATAACAGATACTTAATAAATGTTTATTCACTGATTGAGGGAAACAAAACCTCGATAATTTATGGCTGTGTCTTACTCATTGGATGTCAGTGAGTCTGGGTGAGTCTCTGTGAGTGTGGATATATGTATCTTCTATGTTTGCACGTGGCTTATAGAATCACACCTTTTAGATCGAGAAAGAATCTCAGAGGTTAAACAGTCAACCCCCTGATATCAGATTGGGATGAAACCTTAGAAACTTCTATTTCAATATCTCCATATTACAAAGGAAGAAACTGAGGCCAGAGGATATGGGAGGTATTCAAGGTCACACAGCATTTCAGTGGTAAAGACGGGGCAAAGACCAAAGGCTCCTGATTCCTGGGCCAAAGCTCTTTGTACTACACTATGCTGTCTATCTATTTCCTTTCTGGGGGGACAGCCGGGCTCCTTTGTAGAAGAGCTGATAAAGGAAATGACTGGGGAAAAGGAAAGAATTAGCATCTGGAGTCAGACGCCTGAGTTCAACGACCAACTCTACTGCTAACTACCTCAGGTACTTATAGTTAAAGTACCTCTATAGGTACTTATAGTTATAAGTACCTCTAAAGTACCTCTATAAAATGAGGGGTTTGAGCTAGATCATGTCAAAGGATTCTTCCAGCTCTAGATCCATGCCCCTAAATTGCCCCGACCCCAATTTCCTGCACGTGTCTCCCCACCATGTGATTTTCTTTCTTACTCCTTACCTTTACTTCCTTTTCTAGGTAGTCACAGAGCAGAATCTGGGGGTCAATGAGGTAGTCCGGGGGGTACAGGGGCACAGAGTGGAGGGGCCGTCGGCTCACAGGACTTCTCCCAGCCGACCTACGCCCTGTCTTAGGGAATACCAGCCGGCGGATAGGAGACACAAAGCCCTAGGGAGGCAAGGGGGGTTAAGAAGCCTGGGGAGGGGCCTCAAAGCCAAAGACCCAAGGGCTCAGCCAGGCTTTGGTGGGCCTCCCCTGCTCTGCGGGTGTGTACTTAAACCTAGTATGACTTGGGGATTCCCAATAAGGACAGAATTAGGGCAGGGCCGGGGTATGCTGGAGGCATCTCATGCCTCTGAGCTTACTGTTAAATTTTCAGTGTGAGTATTTAGACCTCAAATACTGTATCAGTATTACAAATTTGTATTACTACAAATCAGGGCTTGATTTATCATTTTGTTGATTGTTTAGATTGAAGAAAGTGGCTGAGAAAATATTAATAATGCAGATTAAACTTAAGTGTGTTGTGTGTCCTTTTTTTTTTAGAGAATTGGTTGTTAAACATTTGCCAGCACACCCCTAAACAGGGCTGTACTGTTGGGACATTAAGTATAACCAGAGGCTGTGTGAATGTATGAGTTGTGTGTATTTGAGTGTGCAGTTACACTCCAGGGAGTATGAATGTGGATGGGCGTCTGTGAGTGAGTGTGGATATATGTATCTTCTATGTTTGCATATGGTTCCTAGGATCACAGGTTTAGAGGTCACCTGTTCAACCCCCTGATTTTACAGGTGAAAAGACCTGCGGCCCAGAGGAGTCAAGTGACTTGTCCGTGGTCACCCAGGTAGGAAGTGCAAGAGCTAGGACTGGGGCTTCAGCTCTAGCCTTCTTTTCATTACTTCTTTTCGTGTGTGTGTGTGTGTGTGTGTGTGTGTGTGTGTGTGTGTGTGTGT